GTGCAGGATCGATTTATCACGTTTTGGAGTCCAGATTTTCATAAGATATGTACGTACATGTTTTGACATAATAACTCATGTTCTTAGGTGTTCACGAAAGCTTGTTTGCATTTCCAACTTCTGAAACGCCGCCCGTGAGGATCAAGATATTGCGTAGGCCGGTGAAGCGATGCTAGATGAATCTGATGCACGTCGGTGATAAATCACAACGAGTACGTTACTGCCAGAATCCCCGGCCACAAGCGACCAGGTGCAGGTGGGCATGCAATGGGCTGTGAAATCCGGTGATTGCATGAGTTAAGTGCGTCTAGAAAAATACTCCCTCATGCCAAACTATACTTTTTGCCATCTTGCGAAAGCATAAAGGTCACCAGCCTTGTAAATGCCGCTGGTGATGACCAAGATGTTGTTCTAGCGAAAAAAGTGATGCGAGATGCACCTGTGTAGCCGTGTGCTGTTTAAATGAGTCCATTTCACCGAGGCAACGAGGAACAAGGAGGAATACGACTTTGCGTTAGTTTGCAGTAGTTAGGAACCTAGCAAAATTGCCAATCCTTACCAATTGAGGAAGCTTGATTGTTTACCGTGCTAACTGTGACTTTGGACACTTTTTATGATCGAGCAGAAATCTCTCCCCTGCCGTGCATCGAGGGATGAGTGTTTAACCAACGAACGACATAAAGAAAAAGGCAGACGTTCGCCGAACGTTCGAGTGTTGTGTTCGAGTTTCAGCCGTTCAGTAGGAGAGAGGCGAGCGACGAGGACGACGAGGACGACGACGATGAGTGGAAATCGAAAGAAACGACTGCTTTTTCACAGAATATAACGAATTCGTTTTCGTTTTCAAACCGACGTCTTTACTATTTCTATAATTAGAATATTCGATCAGATCCGTTCGTTATATCATCGGCTGAGAATGAAGCAACCGACCAAACACTCTTCCTAGGCTTGGAGCTCAGAACGCCGCCAAACAAGCAGGCGTCCTGACTGGCTTGTGGCTGGGAGGTACGAAATCGTGTTCGATCCGTTGCTCGAACGAACCGCGGCCTCGCTAGCGACCGGTTCAGTTAGAGGGCAATGGCACTGGTAGGCGGAAGTAGGCGAGCGGATTGGTTGTCGACTGAGCACCGATGAGTGCGAAGTAGACAGGCAGCAGAAAACGGATAACGAACGGATATACACAAAGCGATTGTACACATAAACACGACAAACAAAGCGCATGTTACTATTATGTTCTGTTGTGGAAGCTTGTTGCGCCGCCTTTTGATCTAGTCAGCCTTGACGGTCCTCGTTCGTCACTCACACAGTAGAAAATCTATCGCAGTTCGTTTCGATTGCACTTCACCTGCCACGGCTCGTCGTCGACAAACTTCCAGTAGCCGGTGTTCTTCGGGTCATAGTTCTCCGTCTGGCCGGCCGGTCCATCAACGGCTGCCGCTGCCTCCACCTGAAGCAGCACGTCGTTGCCGGCGCCTTTCTGGGCGACGGAAGTGCCGCCCTCGTCCCTCAACAGAAACGACGCCCACGCGCAATGGAACAGCGCGTACCCCAGCCAGATGAGGACGCAGGCCAGTGACACGAAGATGGCGATGCTGTCAACATGGTGTATGGCTATCAGCGACGATGCACAAAAATCAGACTTACTAGTTTGTGCACGACAGTGCGGTACACGTGACGATGACGGCGATCAATGTCAGGGCACCGCTCAGCCAAAGGCACAACGACAGAATCAGAAGGCATTTCCTGAAAGTGAAAATAAGCTTGAGTTCGTCTCTGAACGTCAACTACCGGCCCTCAGATGGACGAATAAGGCGAAGAGGCACGAAACCTCTCTGGACTCATTGACTTACCTCGCCGGTCGAACTGCGCTGTAGAAAGGTATGCACGGGAAGCAGAATACCGGAAAGCGTCTTCTCAGGTACCATGGTTGGTACATGGTGGACAGTGGCCACAAATCCGGTCACACAACGGCAACGGTCGAGGCTGGGTGAGGTGAGAAAGCTGAACGAAGGAAAACAGAGCAGCGCTGGTTTGATTTCACTTTCGAACCCACTGCAGTAAGGCTGTTGTTGTTGACCGATCAGAATCTTCCTAGTCGACAGCTGCTGCACGTTGCAATGAGGGAGCGTGCTGCGTTATTCAATGCATGCCTTCGGCCGCTTCTGGCGACGGCAGCGGCGGCAAGGAGTTCATGCAGTTAATTGCTATACGACCGATCGTTCGTTGGTGGCTACTGCAGCTTCTATTCAGGTTGTTGGCTGTATCAACCGACGGCCGGAAGACGGCTCATCGCGGAGGTGTTATTAATTACCTTTTAATTGCTCGCTTAAACGCCACGGCTTTGGAACCATCACCGCCAGAGGTCGCTGCCTTGATTTTCAGGCTGCTCAGGGATCGTCGTTACGTAACGTATTGACG